AGCGAGTTTAAAGTATGGACTTTCTCCGTGTGTTTTTAAGAGGTTGTCTTGATAATGTTTGGTCAAGATTGTAGCTTAATTTGAATTGACCACTCCCTCTATGTGGCCGGAAATATTGCTAAACATGCATGCCTGTGCCACACATCGATCCTAAAGATCAGACAGTCTTGACTTAAAGTAAAATACTGAAGGTGAACTGAGCTTCGTGAAGAGATAAAATGCACACTCACCTTTCGTACAATGGGTTGTCGCTTTCCTTCACTGTTTCATTGCTGAAAGAAGGCAATTTGGAATCACATTTTGTGGAAAAGCGTACAATTTGAGTGTTTGGATTTGATCAATAAAATTGGCAAACTAGTTTAACCTGTTATTATACATTCCAGGCGGGTTGACATATGTGTAACGATTATCATTTTCTTCTTCATCACAGCCAGAACTGAAAGCAGAAAAACATGCAAGTATGTGTTTGATAAGATTCTTCATATACACACACGTTACAAGCCCCGTCGCTCCCTCTCAACCTGACTTTGAAAAAAGCTCACCGGGCGCGACAATTTTAGGATTTACGGCAGATACAGGTAGTGAAGTAGAAGCGACACGACCATCAGTGACAAAGAAATGTAGAATTGTAACCCTGGCCACAAACTTTCACAGGTTTTACCTCGTGTTACACTCATCCGTTGGGGTGGCGTAAATGGAGACTGCTTTCTCGTCCGGTTGAAAGCTCACTGCAGGTGTGTTCCGGTTGTTTTGATTTTCCCTACTACGCCTGCAGTAAATTCGAAAATCAAAAAAAAAAAAAAACTGGATGAAACAAAAAGTTTGCTTCACTAGCGGTGTGCGAACTTTTGTAAAGATTTTCCGTACATCTAGCTTACTCAAAAGGTGCCATTCACGATCGATAGTTGAGTTCAAAATGAGATCAGAAAAGTAAATTACGAGAGATTCCTATACGACTTGCTATGTACACTTGTGAAGTTGGAAAAACCCCACATTGGCACTTCATAATTTTAAATGAGAAAACGTAATTATCCGTACTGTCTGCTTAAACAAACCCTTTACCTCCCAAGATCTTATTAGTGATTATCCTTACTGTCTGCTTAACAATTCTCATGATAACAATTTGATATTGGATCAACTAATAATCTCCTAATTGATATTTTTCTTTATTCTCATCACTTCTATGCTTGATATTGTATTTTTATTGTAAGGAGAAATTCTTTCTTAGTCACTCATGGGAGGTAAAGGGTTAAGGATATAATATCGATAACAAAAAGTTGAACTTACCGCTTTTTGTGAAAACAAAACAAGGTTATTGCGAGTATCGCACAAATTACTACCAAAGCTGCAGTCAATCCAGCAATTAGGGTGGTTTTTGAGTCAGACTCGCTTCCATCGTCCAATGTGTCAGACAAACCTTCTCCTCTTGTCATGGAGGTGTGATCTGTTTTATCTGGAGAGCTGAGTTTGCTCCCTCTAGTAGAAGATATATCTTGAGTGGTCTCTACGCTTGATGACGTCGTAGTTACTTTGTCTTTGACCATGTTTGTCTGAGTTGAGGCAAGGGTTGTGCTAATAGTTGTTTTGGCTGCTGTGTTTAGAAAGATTTATTATTTTTATGTTTGTGGCATAAACAGAATATTCTAGAATAGGATCCGTAGCCCAGCTTATCGCTATTTGAGGGCATGTCAGCTTGTCTTCCATTAATTGGTTAAACTACGCTGTACCTGATTATGAGATTTCTATCGCGTTATAGTGTTCATGTCGGCAAAGCCCGAATCACTGAACTATTCAGCATAAAACTCAAGAGTGATTGTTAAAGAATTTTCTAGTTATTCAAAACGTAACAACAACCCAAGCGCATATTTTTGTTATTATGTTTGCAACCGCTCGCTGTTATGCTAGTCACTCTACTTACTCTCTATTACGCAATAGATAGCGGGTAGCGTAGCCAATCAGATTGTGACATTCTGATTAGATTGCATATTCGCTTTAAACTAATAGCTATCATCACAGTTATTACGTGTTCTTATATCGGTCAATTTTGCGAGCTGTACTCTACTGAGCAGCTCGTTAAAGTAGAAAACTGTTTGTGTGGACAAAATCTCTCATTCCACCCCTTCCCTTCCCCAAAGTAACTTCAAAAAAGTTATGACTTTCGTGGCCAAAGAGCAAATCGCAGCGGAGAAAACTTAAGTATGAACCATCAACTCGGTTAGTGTGAGGTATTTATAACCTTTTCCTCGAAAAAGAGGGGACTTCTATGAACCTTAAGGTCACTCCATGCTACGCACTGACAATTCAATTTCTTTTAAACGTATTTTCGTCAATGGTTTTTAAGTTAAGCCTTAGAAATCATATCAAAACCTCAGTTTCATGTTAAGGCTACTGTATACTTTTGCCTTTCGTAAGCACATCCGTCTCCAATCGCTTTATCAAAAGGCAAATAACCTGGAAATTAAAGCGTACAAAGACATCACCCTTTTTCGAGAGAGTCAAATGTAGCAATGAAAGTTATCGGATGTCTAAATGTTTGAGGTTTTTTTAGGCTTACCCCTAATCTTTATAGCTTGGTACCTGGCACGAAATCCTTTGCCTGACAGAGTATCATCTGATCGAAAAATAACTGTAACATTGTTGCCAGTGGAATTTAATTGAGGCGTTGTCATGTCACAGACTTGATCAATGAGAACGGTTGTTCCGTTAATTGTTTCCCGCACGTAGACAAAGTCACACCAACAGCAACCGGACTCTAAACTGACGTTATCAAAAGTTATCAGAATAGTGTAATTCCAAGGGACTTCAATATGCCACTTGCACCAGGCCTTGTTACTATAGTTTTGTGGATAGTATGGACTGTGGAATGTGCCATTCAGTGCTGTCATTGTCTGCGTGCACTCTGTTCGAATGTAAGGAAAACCAAATTGAGAAAAAATATATAAACATTGACCAATAATCCTACCTCGATGTTTAAGGGTGTCGCCTAGTGAAGTCTACTACGTTGAAGGGTTAAAATATTGTATTGAGTCCCTAACGTTAGCGTTTTAACATATAGAAAGTCTTAAGCCGTTTTCCCTTTTGAAAATTACGGTATACTTAGATTGATAGATCTCAAGTTCATGGAACATTACCTTGCTAAGTAAGGTTCGGGTTTGGAGGGGTCGTTTACAAGACAATTGTCTTTTATTGTCCTAACGAGGATTTCGTGTCGATGACGTCTTTCACTTGATCAATTAGTTTGACCTAAGAGAAGGTATTTTTTTTTCTTTCGGTTGTTACAGGCAGGCTTATGAGGTAGGAGACTAGGTAAGAAGGTCGAAAACCGATTAGGTCACACAAGCATAGAGGGAACATCCAGGCCTAATTCAGATGATGAATAACTATCAGATGTTTTTTAACATGACTAGTTGTTACAAATCACAACTTGATGCTAAAAGAGCCTGGTACCTCTATAGTAACAGTAATATATTGTCGGCATGTGGAAACCGGCTCCATAGGGATATGGGAACGATTTTTCGTCCATATTATAATCATCTTCTGTGTCATATGTAATGTTTTCCATCTTATGTATGGTGTTCAGAACTTCCTGACAATGTGGTCTAAACGCCATCAAGTAAAAGGGAGACGCAAAGGGAAGATCTACTGGCTCTTTATATCCGTCAACAGTGGTCCTACAGCAAAAGAATATCTTTGTGTTGTGATCAAATACTCCTTCTGGAAGAACGCCGGCATGGGCGTTTTTGTTTGTTCCGTCAGCACCATCTTCGTCATCCCAAAACACCCAACCACTCTGCAGTCCATCTGGACAATCAGAGCCTTTCTGATAGATGCAGTACTCCCCGGCAGGCCATCGGGGTCGATTTCTTTCGACTGTTGCTGTTATGTTGTCCTTTATACAGAAATACTGTTCGACATCACCCGAGACCCAGACTTTGAGCTGAGAGTTCGGCGAGACAGCAGTAGCACTATTCTCGTCCTCGAGATCCTGGTAGATGTATCCTGTTTGCCATTGAAATCCATTTGCCCCTGGACAGCCACTTTTTGGCATGGGTAGTCCATACATTCCTGACGGCCATAATGCAACAGAGCAAACTATGGAGAATGAAGATAACGGTATTGCTTATTTGAAACCTAAAATTGCGAGTCGATTTCTGTTCCACCTATCCCGCACTTACATAAATAGTTGAAAACCCCTGCGGATTTATTTTCACCGTCTCGAAGGGAATTGTGGCAAACTCTTGCAAAGGATATTTGAAGTTTTTTTTTTTTTTTCTTGCGGAGGTATGAAGAACTTTGAACATTGTGCTCGACGGTGGAGAAGCTCGACGAATGTGAAAATGACGCTCTTTACGACAAACACGTCGCCCTGTTTATGATACAACTAAGAGCATTTAGACGGAGCGCAGTTCGACGAAGCCATTCTTGCGAGACAAACATTGAGTAATTAGGTGGCTGAAATTTGCATAATCAGCAATTAATGTGTCTGTGCTTTTTTCAGCACGGTACTCCATTCGGCATTTTACGGCGCCTACCCGCTGGGTTTCATTAACTCGAGTTAATTTGTGAAGGAAGGAAACATTCATCTTGTGAGGAATATCACATTCTTCTTGGTGTTTTTAATTTCTCTCGTCGAATTTTTCGATTAACGGGGGTACTGTCTATGTAATGATGAAAATTTTAAACTCGGAAGAAGTGATTCCCAGATTTTTACTGAAGCATGTTCGTATAAGCCGCTTTCAATTTCGATGAATGGCCTCCAAATTATTTTACCGTAGCTCGGTGAAATATGCCAGGCCTTTCAAAGTTTACCGTGTCAAAATTCGCAGTTAATACATTTTTCAATTCTGTATCCAAAATTCAGGCCCTTGGATACAAAAACGCATAAATGTTGTTGTGACACCGTACGCATCAAACACGAAAGAGAAAAGGTTTGAGCACATACCTTCTGAAGCAAGACAGCTGAGACACAGAAATCTTACCATTCTGTGAAGAACGTGTAAAAGTCGTGAAATCAACAAAGTGCGAACCATGTTTTGTTTTTTTCTTCCATCGGTTCTTTGTTGGTTAAAATATATTTACCCAGGGTTGAAGGTAACTGCAATTTTATCCGCACGAGCTGGCCCTATCGATCGATGATAGCTTCTTCTCTTTGAGGTTGGTCACAGTCAGATGATTCATGCGTGACCTTGTTGTTATATAAGCAAAGCAAACAGGAAATTAGCTTCAGTACTTCACAATGATCACGTCCTTAAATGTCCTCGCCTCACCGACGTTCTGTCCTTTAACAGAGCTGATCAAGTTTTAATTGATTGCCTTGCGACTTGATGGAAAATCGATTTTCAATGGAAGAACAGAGTCTAAATTTTATTTTCTATTATTCATGACTTGTTTCGAGTATTCTTATCACACGTCAAAGCAAACTATTAAATCTTCTGACAATTTCCGCATTGTGTTTAAATGACAGGAATGTGACAATTTTATCCTCTTTAATTTCATTGAATTTGGGAACTTGATCTTGTGTTTTCGGACGAAATTAAACTATTACAAAAAGCGAAATTACATATTTCGATGTCGCGAAAACCGTCATGTCTCAATTCTGAACAATGCCAAAGCTGATTTCAAAGACGAGCTGCGTGCAGTTCGTTAATAAAATTAGATCAGTTTGAGATTTGAATAAAGAACTATCGATAAGAGGACGAGTTTAGGTAGATTTTACCAAATACGTGGGATACATAAATGGATTTAAGACTTTAAACTGAACTGACTGAACTTTGAAATTGAATACAGGATAATTTATTATAAAACCGGTTGTCATATTTGGGCCAAACGTGCAGAAACTTGAATTTGAAAATGTTTTCCCCTTTGGTAGCATGGGCACGATCTGGCTATAACCATGATATGTAGTGTTCGCTATGTTTTTCCAGATAGCAAGGAGTCGTATCATAAGCTAAAAACTCTATGGGAGTGTTGAAATGTTAACAAGGATGATATGAAATCGGCCAGGAGGGCGAAGAAACACCTCACCTCAGTTGATTAAAATTTAATTTTCCTCTACGGAAGTTTTCAGACGAAGATTCCTTCCTTTTTTTAGTGCTTTATTCGTTACTGCCGATTTTTGCTCCATGTTCTTAAAGGAACACTTTCTTAAGCTGGTCCGCCTTCAGTTGTATATGAAAACATCACTCATGTAGGAATTGCAGTAAAGACTTAGCTAATTAAAGTAAAAAACTTTCAGAATAATCTAGTGCCTTGAAGCAAAACGGTGGCGTTTCTATCTCCCTTCTCCAGACAAAGTACGGTCCGTTGCCTCTCTTAACCCCAGGCTGATAAAAACATCAACAGCTGTTGCCATTTTGACGGAAGAAAGGCGTATATATTTAAATTTTCTTTACTAGGAGATCAGTTTCATAGGCGATTGACTGTTACTCTGTAGTTGACGACGGAGTGGTCGACTCCTTCCTCGCTATCTTATTTACAGGTGAAGGTATGAATTGCAAAATATTTGTGACTGAAGAGATTCCTTTGCGAGGGAAGAAAAAATCGATTAGAATTTGCCTTGCTTTCAACGTTTGGCTTAATGACATACTTGGTAATTACACCCAACTATTAGCCTTGACATAGCCGTTCATTGCTTGCTTGGGTATGATTTAGGGCTAGGTATAATTGCTATGAGATTTAGCTCACAAGCTTCAAGTGCCTTCCATTCAGGATCAGATTCTTTGTTTGTAAGTAAGACGTTTCCAATAAACAACGTTGATTCAACTAATGGACATTATTCAAACGTGTCTAATCATGAAGTTTTGAAAAAGCATTGTCTGACCACACCATGGCTGTTTTGCACTTGCAAATTTGAGTTCAATCAACGCGTCTATTATCTTGTGGGAAGCCAAAAAATTAAAAATCAACGAAGTATGCCTTCAGTCCACAGTCGTCACACATATACTAGACCATCCTCGAAATTGAGAGAGAAAAAAGACAGTTTAAAAGTGTTATTAATTACTCTTTCCTTCCTTTCAATTGCGCTTTTGTTTAACTTATTAACATCAAAATATGTGTTTATTGAAATAATTTCACATGATGAAATTTACTCTTGACTGACTTTCTATTTCAACCTTGGACCAATAAGGTCTCTTGTTTAAAAAACCGATGAAATGAATGATGTTGCTACTGCATGGTGAAATCGTTGCTTAAGGTTTATAAATAGCAAGAGATTATACAATATCTTATATTGAGTCTAATCTTGACAAACCTTTGCCCATATGAGGTAGCGAAACCCAGCTTAAAACAGGTGCGATAATTTTGATCTCGATGCTAAGAAAAAACATTTTTATAGATCAATATTATGTTATCATTAACTGAGGCTTTATTAGGATGTATCCAAGTATTCTCTTACAACGCAATTTCCTCCCCAGTCATGCATGGCAGCAAAACCAAGGCTACGTTTAGAACTGATAATGTAACACTGACCCTTCATACACCGGATTGATGCATTCAGCCTCTTCTACACTTTGTAAAACATCACCCATGCTGGAACGAGATAATCACTCCAGTTATAAGTAATGCCATAAACAATGTTGTAGACATGTTTGCCAATGATGTACTCCCAAATCATGCCGATGTCAGCATAATTAAAATTGACATCACTGGGAAGTTCAAACTCTCTGAGGAGGAGATTACGTATGTAACATGACACTACTGGATGAAAATACTTTTATAGTAGTATGAATGTTGTGTGGGTGGATTGAACCCTGAAATACATTCTATAAGTAGATAGTATGCTATTCAAATATTTTCATTGACGAGTTTCTGTTAAATGGTCACCTTTTCACTCGGGTATTGTATCAGGAGTTTCAATAATTTTTCCATAAACAGCTGATGATTGTGTAAAATGACTATAAGGTGAAATCCAAACACCTGCAAGTTAAACAGCATTAAGCATTAAGATGTCTTACAAGAAGAAGTAGACCACCAGTAACTTGCTTTTTTTGAAACCCCTGTGCATGGTTTAAAAATACGCAGTAGCTGAATATTTTATTGAGTTAGTGTACAGTTGTATAGTACAAATTTGGTTAGACAACTTTGGAGAAGGGTTTCTGAGGCCAGTCACACCCCCCTGCCAAAACTTTAGGGAGTGCCAATCTTTTTACCTACATGTTGATGGAGCAGGTTCTTCTTTGTTTAACTTAAGAGAGGGTTCCAATTCCTCAAAGATAAATAGTTTTCAGATAGCGACCACTTACTAGTGATGACAGATACATATAGGTAATGACATTACATTTCTTTGAAGCCTGCTCCAGGTAGTTGCAAATGAGTGTACAAAAACAGGCGTGTGTCGGTGCATCGCATACCAAAATCTCCCTTGTTTCTGCCCTGTTGTTGCTTTGGTGCTACAGCTATATTTACTTTTTTGCTCTGCTTTACTTACTGAATGCCTTGAAAAGGCTTTGTTTGTTGTAGAATCTGGTGTACAGCTGACACGAGGTTGGAAAAAGGAAATTTTTGTTGCCCTTAAGGGTACTTGCATTTTAATCAAACCTTTGTTTTATTTTGTTTTTATGTACATTGTTTTTAAATTATTTTGTATGAACTCATGCTTTATTTGTGAACTTTGCATTACTAACTCCATTTTAAGTGTCACAGTATCTCCATGAGCCACTCTTGAATATGCTTTTGGTGTCTAGATCTCATTAATGTTTCTCCTTAATGTCTGCCATAAAATCCTTATGATGTTAGTTTGAAGAATTTGGTATTGGATCAACTAAGACTCCCTTAATTTATATTTTTCTTTATTTTCACCACTTCTCTGCTTGATATCGAGTTGATATTGTGAAGAGACATTATGTCTTGATGACTAATGAGAGTTATAAGGTTAAAGGCTTCACATGAGGTACATGTACAACAGAACTTGCCAGAATTTCATTAGCTTCTGGTTACTTCACAGTAGTATTTTCAATAACCAAATTTCTGCGTAGGAAAAAAAAACCTCAACTCTACCTGTGCATTATTTTTATTATTGCTTTTACTTTACTTCTTATTGTTTTTATTTATGTTACTAACATTGACATTACTTCTATCGGTACTATTGTCATAATTGATATTAATTTACATGAATATAACTCAAGACTTGCCATAAAACTGTGAAATTTAATGTTGGAACAAATGTTGATTTTCTTTTAAGGAAGAAAAGCTCTTATTCAAATGTTCAAAAAGAGGAAATATCGGGAGATTCTTGAGAAGGTACAATATGTTAAAATGCTTGATCAATTTTCTCCTTTCCGTATCTAATTTTTCTCCAAAACTATAATTAGCAGTTGTATTGCAAGTCTTCGATTCTTGTCTCTGATTGTAGAAATAAACATAAGAAAAAGTTACATGTAGTATTAAGAGGTGTCATTCCTTGTAACAGGCTCCTTGGAACTTTTTCAAGTTAAAGGCATCCTGAAATACAAAAGAATGAGAATAACATTTTAATCTTATTTGAAACTTTCATCGTATAGTTTATTTAATGAATAAAAGAAAACAGATTTAAGCACTGCAGATCTGGGCAAATGGCAGGATTTATTTCGGCGTTCAGTGTTCCGAAGTATTTATGAATCTTTACAAATCGCCAAAGAAAGGCCTTTAGGTTGACTTTTCCTCTTCATAACAAACCAGAAATTTTACCAAGTACCTTAGAACTTCGTAAATTCTGATGTTTTAAATCATGTTTGATAAACTGCTACCATATGCCTGAATGACGTTCATAAAGGAGGACACTCATTGCAATTGGTCCGTGGTTTACTAGAGGCTAGGACTTATGGTGGGGTGGAATATTGGCAAGCACTTAACTTAAATCTATGAAAGATACCTCTCGCACAGTGAACTGTAGATGCCTTCATCACGATTTGGGTCACGCTGATTCAAACTGAAAAAAGTTAGAGAAAAAAAGTGAAAAAGAAAGTATTTGAAGCCATAGAGGGTGGAGGAGGGAAGGGCGGGGGAGGGAAGGGCGGGGGAGGGAAGGGCGGGGGAGGGAAGGGCGGGGGAGGGAAGGGCGGGGGAGGGAAGGGCGGGGGAGGGAAGGGCGGGGGAGGGAAGGGCGGGGGAGGGAAGGGCGGGGGAGGGAAGGGCGGGGGAGGGAAGGGCGGGGGAGGGAAGGGCGGGGGAGGGAAGGGCGGGGGAGGGAAGGGCGGGGGAGGGAAGGGCGGGGGGAGTTGCTAGAAACCATGGCCTTTGAATCTAGTTCTTTGACTCAATGAAAGACCGTCACAGGGAGAATGAGTTTGGTATGATGTTATTTAATTTTTGAACATTTCATTTGATGGAATCATTTGATAGTTTAGCTTTTGGATGCGTAGCTCACTTCTGATGAATGTGTATTTTTTTATATAAGTGGAAAATCGAAAATATGCTATCTGTAGTGAACTCCTGTTTCAGAACAGGCCTCCCAATCGTGTCTCTCGGATTTTGTCTCTTGGTAACGACGCATGCTGGGATTGGTCATTTTTGTGAGCAGTGTTGTGCTGCAAGGCCGTTATTAGGTGGAAAGGAATACTTCCCTACCTTTCATACACTCGTGCATCAGCTGTCTTCCCGCTTTCAGCACTGATAGAAGAAAATAACAGTTATAAATTACTGAAAAAAAAAGCCGATCTTGTCTTTCAAAAAATATAAAGAAGGAATAGGTATTGGCTAACCCGCCTCTGTAGAGAGGCTTTTCACTTTGTTCGACGGGATTTCTTGCAGAGGTGGCCATTCTATCATTATTGATTAAAGACAAGAAAGTTTCAATGAACGAATGATTTAACTTTTAAAATTGACCAAAAACTTAAATAGTTACAGGCAAAGATCTTCCTACTTCTCTAAGTTCATTAAAAATTTCAAAGAATAATGATCAGTTGCTAGTTTGACCTAATGCGTAACTGAGATGTGATTAAGATGATGGGAATCACTTCTTGACACTAGAATGCTTCTTATTTCCAAAATTAGGGACACAAATATTTCTTAGTGCTTCTACATTTCGAGGACGCTTCAATTCGATTGATATGAATCTCTTTATTTGAGCACTTAACTTAAATCTCTTAAAGATACCTCTCGCACAGTGAACTGTAGATACCCTCATGATTTGGGTCACGCTGATTCAAACTAAAAAAAAGTTAGAGAACAAAAGTGAAAAAAAGTATTTGAAGCCGTGGAGGGTGGGGGAAGGAAGGTGGGGAGGAGGGGCAGTTGTTAGGAACCACGGCCGTTGAATCTAGTTATGCTTTACTCAATGAAAGACTGTCGCAAGGAGAACGAGTTTGGTATTATTTTATTTAATTCATGAAAGTTACATTTGATGGAATCATATGGTAGTTTTCCTTTTAATGCGTAGCTCACTTTTGATGAATGTGTATTTTTTAATAAAAGTGGAAAATTGGGAATATGCTATCTGTGGTGAACTTCTGTTTCAGAACAGGCCTCTTAATCGTGTTATTCAGATTTTGTCTCTTAGTAACGACGCATGCTGGGATTGGTCGATTTAGTGGGCAGTGTTCTGTTTCAAGACCGGTAAAAGGTAGAGAGGATTACTTCCCTACCTTTCGTACACTCCTGCATTAGCTGTCTTCCCGCTTTCAGCACTAAGAGAACAAAAACAGTTATAAATTACTGGGGAAAAAAACCAATCTTGTCTTTCAAAAAATATAAAGAAGAAATACTTATTGGCCAACCCCCCTCTGTAGAGAGGATTTCCTCTTTGTTTGACGGGATATCTTGCAGAGGTGGCTATTCTATCACTTTTGAAAATTAAAGACAATAGATACAGGCAAAGATCTTCCTACTTCTGTAAGTATATTAAAAATCTCAAAGAATAATGATCAGTTGATAATTTGACCTAATGCGTAATTGAGATGTGATTAAGATGATGGGAATTACTTCTTGTCAGATTGCTTTCTAAAATCAGGGACCAAAATATTTCTTAGTGCTTCTGTATTTCGAGAACGCTTCAATTCGATTGGCTTAAAGACCGATTCATATAACTCAGTTTATAACTCCTTGAAAAATTGGTTGCGGGAAGCTTCTGTGGAAGCACGCAAATATCGTGTCTTTTGTTGTGGAGTTCTTTCAACCTTCCCCTTTGGATATTAACTTAACTACCACCGCTTTCAACATTGATAGCTTATCACTTTTAAATCGCGAACATTACTGATTTATGTAATGTGTACATCAGTGAGTTTAAAGTATGGACTTTCTCTGTGTGTTTTAAAGAGGGTGTCTTCATCATCATATTTTGTTTGCCTTATTTACACAATACAATACAAAATATTTACAGCGGTGAAGGCTAGAAGGTGAGGAGATCCAGGAAGCCACCGGGCATATGGGAGAGCCACCTCACTTACATTAATAAATAAAGAATAAAGTAAAGAAAAAGTGCTGCGAATGTGCGGCTAGGCCAATTCAGTGATTATTTAAGTAAAAACTCTTGCATTTTCGTCTTAAAGCTGAGAAGGTTTGACGAACGAGTGACTGAAACAGGAAGAGACTCCCAAATTTTAGGACCTAGGTAGAGAATTGTAAATTGCTTGAGATTTGTACGGTACAAATGCGTTCGATAATGACTGGCTCTTCTGGTACCATAGTTGTAAATTTGGCTATTGGTCACCAAAAGATTGAGGAGCAATTGAGGTAATAAGTTATTTTTATAATAAAACATAAAGTTAGCGATTTCAACCGTATTGACTGGGAAAATATCTAAAATTCCTAGTTTGGAGAATAAAGGAGCGGAATGGGCTCGATAGTCTGAGTTGGTGATAGCCCGCACAGCTCGCTTTTGCAAATAATAAATTGTGTTTAAGTTAGATACGTGTGTGGACGACCAGGTGCAGTTACAACAGACGATATAAGGATAAATTAAGGTATAGTACAAAACAAATTTGGTTGTAGAGGATAGGAAAAAGCGAGACCCGAATATAACAGCTATTGATTCAGCGACTTGTTTTTATACATAGACTACACATAGCTGATATGGTGTTTCCAGGTGAGATTATCATCAATATTGACCCCAAGGAATTCAGTTATGTCAGATTGTTGTAGGGGTTTATCTCCAAAGGAGAGAGAAATGCTGGAGGTAAATTTCTTCTGTCTGGGTTTAAAAAATTACGTGGTTAGTTTTCTTTATATTAACTGAAAGCTTATTACATTTTTGCCAAACATCAATATTTTGGAGTTCATCATTAAGAACAAGTCTCTGTAAGAATCAAACATCTTGGGAAATGAAAATTTTCAACCCCCCTTCAAATTTTGCATGCAGTTAGGCACTTAGGGGGGCTGCACAAAATGCCCTTTTTATAGGTTACAGCATTCTTGTTGCCATGGTAACAACGGCTGCTTGTTCGAGGCCTGGGGCCTCATTTTCATACAAAAACGTCGCAAAAAAGAGTGAAATGTTTATTTCTCTACCTCAAGCTAAATACAGCATTACAAATTGGCACTTCTACTATTCATAGTGACATCATTCGTCTTCACATTGATACATTCAATTTTCCTTGGGATTGAATGTGAACACACAAATAGATGAAGGGAGGTTGAAAATTTTCATTTCCCAAGATGTTTGATTCTTACAGAGACTTGTTCTTAAGTACGGATTCTAAGCAATTGGGGTTTGAGTGAGAATAAAAGATACTGGTGTCATCAGTGAAATGCAGAGGGTCTGTTAATTCAGAGGCATTAGGGAGGTCATTTATGTATAGGATGAACAATAGAGGGCCTAAAATCGAACCTTGAGGGACACCACACTTGGTGGTTTGCATGGAGAGCAAGCTTGATTGAATCTGACAAATTGCTGGCGGCAAGAAAAGTAGCTTTTAAACCACTGCAGAGCTACGTCACAGATACCATAGTGCTCCAATTTGGCAAACAAGATTTGATGGTCGAGAGTGTCGAATGCTCTGAAAAGATCTAGGTCTTAAGAATGTTTGGTCAAGATTGTAGCTTAATTTGAATTGACCACTCCTCTTTGTGGCCTGAAATGATGCTAAACATGCCTGTGCCATACAAGGATCCTTATGATCAGACAGTCTCGACTCATTAAACTCATTCGACTCACGCTGAAAGTGAACTGAGCTTCGTGAAGAGATAAAATGTAAACTCACCTTTCGTACGATGGGTTGTTGCTTTCCTTCACTGTTTCATCGCTGAAAGAAGACAATTTCGAATCACATTTTGCGGAAAAGCGTACAATTTGAGAGTTTGGATTTGATAAGTAATATTGGCAAACTAGTTTAACCTGTTATAATACATTCCAGGCGTGTCGACATATGTGTAAGGATTATCATTTTCCTCATCATCATAGCCAGAACTGAAAGCAAAAAAACAAGCGAGTGTTTGATAATATTCTTCATATACGTACACGTTACAAGCCCCTTTGCTCCCTCTCGACCTGACTTTTAAAAAAGCGCATCGGGCGCGACAATTTTAGGATTTACGACAGATGCACTGGTAGTGAAGTAGAAGTAACACGACCATCAGTGACAAAGAAATGTAGAATTGTAACCCTAGCCAAAAACCTTTTTAGGTTTTACCTCGTGTTAGACACATCCGTTGGGGTGGCGTAAATGGCGACTACTTCCTCGTCCGGTCGAAAGCTTACCGCAGGTGTGTTCCAGTTGGTTTGATTTTTCCGGCTACTCCTGCAATAAATTTGAGAATCCAAAACAGAAAAACTGGATGAAACAAAAAGCTTTGCTACACTAACTGTGTGCCAACTTTTGTAAAGATTTTCCGCACATCTAGGTTACTCAAAGGGTGCTATTCACAATCGATAGTTGGGTTCAGAATGAGATAATAAAAGTAAATTACGAGAGATTCCTATACGACTTGCTACATACACATGCGATGGTGGCTAAACTCCACATTGGCACTTCATAACTTAAAATGAGAAAACGATGTTGCATTTTAACCCTTTAACCCCCAAGATCTCATTAATAATTCTCCTTACAATCTGCCAAAGAATTCTTATGATGTCAATTTGGAGAATTTGGCATTGAATCAACTATTAATCCCCTAACTGAAATTTTCCTCCATTCTCATCACTTCTGTGCTTGATATTGTATTGAAATTGTACGGAGAAATTCTTTCTTGGTCACTCATGGGAGGTAAAGGGCTAAGGATATAATATCGATAACAAAAGGTTGAACTTACCGCTTTCTGTGAAAATAAAACAAAGCTATTGCGAGTATCGCACAAATTACTACCAAAGCTGCAATTAATCCAGCAATAAGGGAGGTGTTTGACTCAGACTCTCTTCCATCGTCCAAGGTGTCAGACAAACCTTCTCCTCTCGTCATGGAGGTGGGATCTGTTTTTTCTTGATAGCCGAGTTTGCTCTCTCTTGTAGAAGATATCTCTTGAGTGGTCTCTTCGCTTGATGACGTTGTGGTTACTTTGTCTTTGACCATGTTTGTCTGAGTTGAGGCAAGGGTAGTGCTAGTAGTTGTTTTGGCTGCTGTGTTAAGAAAAGTAGCATATTTTTATGTTTGTGGCATATACGCTATATATTGCTATTTGAGGGCATGTCAGCATCTCTTCCACTAATTGGTTAAACTACGCTGTACTTGATTATGAGATTTCTATCGCGTTATAGTGTTCATGTGGGCAAAGCCCGAATCACTGAACTATTCAGCATAAAAATCGAGAGTGAATGTTGAAGTATTTTTTAAAGTAAAATCGTCTAGTTATTTAAAACGTAACAACAACCCAAGCGCATATTTTTGTTATTATGTTTGCAACCGCTCGCTGTTAGGCTAGTCACTCTACTTACTCTCTATTACGCAATAGATAGCGGGTAGCGTAGCCAATCAGATTGTGACATTCTGATTAGATTGCATATTCGCTTTAAACTAACAGCTATCATCACAGTTATTACGTGTTCTTATATCGGTCAATTTTGCGAGCTGTACTCTACTGAGCAGCTCGTTAAAGTAGAAAACTTTTTGTGTGGACAAAATCTCTCATTTTACCCCTTCCCTCCCCCGAAGTAACTTCAAGAAAGTTATGACTTTCGTGGCCAAAGAGAAAATCGCAGCGGAGAAAACTTAAGAATGAACCATTAACTCGGTTAGTGTGAGGTATTTATAACTTTTTTCCTCGAAAAAGAGGGGACCTCTTTGAACCTCACGGTCACTCCATGCTACGCCTTTACATTTCAATCTTATTTACAAATTTTCGTTAAGGCTTTTAAGTCAAGCGCTAGAAATCATATCAAAACCTCAATTTCATGTAAAGGCTACTGAATACTTTTGCCTTTCGTAAGCACATCCGTCTCTGATCGCTTTATCGAAAGGCAAATAACCTGGAAAATTAAAGCATACAAAGACATCACCCTTTTTCGAGAGAGTCAAATGTAGCTATGTAAGTTATCGGATGTCTAAATGTTTAAGGCTTTTTTAGACTTACCCTTAATCTTTATAACTTGGTACCTGGCACGAAATCCTTTGCCAGACCAACTAGCATCTGATTGAAAAATAACCGTAACATTATTACCACTGGAATTTAATTGAGGCGTTGTCATGCTACACACTGAACCAATCAAAACTGTTTTTCCGTTCATTAATGTTTCCCACACGTTGACAAAGTCACACCAACAGCAACCGGACTCTAAACTGACGTCATCAAAAGTGATCAGAATAGCGTAATTCCAAGGGACTTCAATATGCCACTTGCACCAGGCCTTGTTGTTATAGTTTTGTGGATAGTATGGACTGCGGAATGTGCCATTCAGTGCTGTCATTGTCTGTGTGCACTCTGTTCGAATGTAAGGAAAACCAAATTGAGAAAAAATATGTAAACATTGACCAATAATTCTACCTCGATGTTTAAGGGTGTCGCCTAGTGAAGTCTACTACGTTGAAGGGTTAAAATATTGTATTGAGTCCCTAACGTTAGCGTTTTAACATATAGAAAGTCTTAAGCCGTTTTCCCTTTTGAAAATTACGGTACACTTAGATTGATAGACCACATCCATCGAACATTGCCATATTAAGTGAGGTTCGGGTTTAGAGGGGTCGTTTACAAGACAATTGCGTTTTATTGTCATTACGAGCCCAAGTGGGTAGCAAGCATAAAGATATGGCTTTTTGTGTAAAGGACAGGGAAAAGACTGCCATACAGGCTACGAAATTTGCTAAAATTTGTAACCTGTCCCAGGTGTAGCAAGCGTAATTTGAAGTTTCTTTTCTCGACTCAGTTGCTACTGCGTGAGCGCTCCAGGCTATCAGATGTATTTTATCATGAATAGTTGCTACAAACCACAATTGGATGATAAGAGAGCCTGGTACCTCTATAGTAACAGTAATGTATTGTCGGTGGGGAGAAGTCGGCTCCGTATGGATATGGGAACCATTTCCGGTCAAAATTATGATCATTTTCTGTGTCATATGCAATGTATTCCATCTCATGTATAGTGTACAGAACTTCTTGGCAACGCGGTCTAAACGCCATCAAGTAAAAGGGAGACACAAAAGGAAGATCTATTGGCTCTTTATATCCGTTACTGGTGGTCTTACAGCAAAAGAATATCTTTGTGTCGTGATCAAATACTCCTTTTGGAAGAACGCCGGCATGGGCGTTTTTGTTTGTTCCGCTAACACCATCTTCGTCATCCCATAATATAAACCCACTCTGCAGTCCATCTGGACAATAAGAACCTTTCTGATAGATGCAATACTCCCCCGCAGGCCATCGGGATCGATTTCTTTCGACTGTTGCTGATATGTTGTCCTTTATGCAGAAATACCGTTCGACATCACCTGAGACGCGGCCTTTGAGCTGTGAGTTCGGTGAGACAGTAGTAACATTACCCTCGTCCTCGAGATCCTGGTAGATGTATCCTTCTTGCCATTGAAATCCATTTGCCCCTGGACAGCCGCTTTTTGGCATGGGTAGTCCATACATTCCTGACGGCCATAATGCAGCAGAGCAAACTATGGAGAATTAAGAAAATGGTATGGCTCATTTCAGAGCAAAAATTGCGAGTCGATTTCTGTTCCACCTATCCCGTACTTACATAAATAGTTGAAAATCCCTGCGGATTTATTTTCACCGTCTCGCAGGGAATTTTGGCAAACTCTTGCAAAGGATACTTGAAGTTTTTTTTTTTTTTTTTGAAGAACTTTGAACATTGTGCTCGACGGTGGAGAAGCTCGACGAATGTGAAAATGACGCTCTTTACGACAAACACGTCGCCCTGTTTTACGATACAACTGAGAGCATTTGTGTCTGTGCTCTTTTCAGCACGGTACTCCATTCGGCATTTTATGGCGCCTACCCGCTGGGTTTCATTAACTTATTTTAATTTTTGAAGGAAGGAAACATTCATCTTGTGAGGAATGTCACATTCTTTTTGGTTTTTTTAATTCCTCTCGTCGAATTTTTCGATTAACGGGGATACTGTTACTCGGAAGAAGCGATTCCTAGATTTTTACTGAAGCATGTTCGTATAAGCCACTTTCAAATTCGATGAATGGCCTCCAAATTATTTTACCGTAGCTCGGTGAAATATGCCAGGCCTTTCAAAGTTTACCGTGTCAAAATTCGCAGTTAGTACATTTTTCAATTCTGTATCCAAAATTCAGACTCTCGATACAAAAACGCATGAATGTTGTTGACATCGTCCTCGTCAAACACGAAAGAGGATAAGTTTGAGCACATACCTTCTGAAGCAAGACAGCTGAGAAACAGAAATCTTACCGTTCTGTGAAGAACGTGTAAAAGTCGTGACATCAACAAAGTGCGAACCATGCTTTGTTTTTTTTTTCCATCGGTTCTTCGTTGGTTAAAATCTATTTACCCAGGCTTGAAGGTAACTGCAATTTTATCCGCTCGAACTAACCCTTTCGACCGATGACAGCTTCTTCTCTTCGAGGTTGGTCCCAGTCAGATGATTCATGCGTGACCTTGTTGCCATATAAGAAAAGCAAAGAGGAAATAAGCTTCAGTACTTCACAATGATCACGTCCTTCAATGTCCCTGCCTCACTGACGTTCTGTCCTTTAACAGAGCTGATCAAATTTTAATCGATTGCCTTGCGACTTGATGGAAGATCGATATTCAATGGAAGAACAGAGTTAAATTTTTATTGTTATAACTTGTTTCAAGTATTCTTATCACGCGTTAAAGCAAACTATTTAAATCTTCTGACAATTTCCGCATTGTGTTTAAATGACAGGAATGTGTTAATTTTATCCGCGTTAATTCAGTTGAATGTGGGAACTTGATCTTTTGTTTTTTTCCGACGAAATCAAACTGGCGCAAAATGCGGAATTACATATTTCGACGTCGCAAAAACCGTCATGTCTCAATTCTGAACAATGCCAAAGCTGATTTCAAAGACAAGCTGCGTGCAGTTCGTTAATAAAGTTAGTTGAGATCAGTTTAAGATTTGAATAAAGAAATATAGATAAGAGGACGAATTTTGGTAGATTTTACCAAGTACGTGGGATATATAAATGAATTTAAGACTTAGCTTTCACACATGTGAACTCAAATCAATTCGATATGGGGATGAACTTTGAAATTAAATACAGGAGAATTTATTATAAAACCGGTTGTCATATTTGGGCTAAACGTGCAGAAACTTGAATTTGAAAATGTTTCCCCCTTTGGTAGCATGACCACTATTTGGCTATCACCATGATATGTATTGTTCGCTATGTTTTTCCAGATAGCAGGGAGTCTTATCTCAAGCTAAAAACTCTATGGGAGTGTTGAAATGTTAAACATATTCAGTAGAGTAATTTGTGTCATTTTCGCATGGTGATGATATGAAATCGGCCCGGAGGGCGAAGAAACACCTCACCTCGGTTAATTAAAATTCAATTTTGCCTCTTCGGAAGTTTTCAGACAAAGATTCCTTTCTCTTTAGTGCTTTATTCGTTACTGCCGATTTTTTTTTCTCCATGTTCTTAAAGGAACACTTTCTTTAGCTGGTCCGCCTTCAGTTGTATATGAAAACATCAGTCATGTAGGAATTGCGGTAAAGACTTAGGTGATTAAAGTAAAAAACTTTCAGAATAATCTAGTGCCTTGAAGCAAAACGGTGGATTTTCTATCTCCCTTCTCCAGACAAAGTACAGCCCGTTGCCTCTCTTAACGCAAGGCTGATAAAAACATCAACAGCTGTTGCCATTTTGACGGAAAAAAAGGGTGTATTGCGAGTCTCATAATTTTCTTTACTAGAAGATCGGTTTCATCGGCGCCTGGTCACCTTTTTACTCGGGTATTGTATCAGGAGTTTTAAGAGGCTGTCTCTCTTATTTCCACCCGGTCAATTTTGCGTCAAAAATAATTTTGCCTGAAACTCTGTTAACAGAAAGACTTTACCTAGGAAAGAACTAAATTAGATTTCGTTTGATTCGAAATAATTTTCTGACTGCATTATCGGCGCCTGGTCACCTTTTTACTCGGGTATTGTATCAGGAGTTTTAAGAGGCTGTCTCTCTTATTTCCACCCGGTCAATTTTGCGTCAAAAATAATTTTGCCTGAAACTCTGTTAACAGAAAGACTTTACCTAGGAAAGAACTAAATTAGTTTTCGTTTGATTCGAAATAATTTTCTGACTGCATTACGGGCCATAATTATTTCCCAGTCCGTAGGGACCGTCGCAACGTCTCGAAAATTGAAAAATAGGCATATTTTGTAACGTTGTAAAATATTTGATTCGCATAGTTAAGCCACAGAATTTATATCAGATTGCTTAAAAACCTTTCTAGTTTGCCAAGAAAGTTAGAATTTGCCCTCTCAACAAATTTGAAAAGGCGAATTTTAGCATATTCTGACCACTAGAAATCGCCATCGGCCGATGGCCGTAAATAACCTTGATTTAGACGCTAAGTTTTGGGATTTGGGACCTGGTTGACGATTCTATCCTACACAGCCGTTAAGTTTAGACCTTTATAGGCAAAAATATGCAAAAACCCCTGTACGTTTTCGATTTTTCAAAAGTTATGACCGTTTGAATCAGCACATGTACGAGCATTCGCGATTTTTTCGCCTACACCAAAATCGAACCACTGGAGCAGATTTCGTCATAAATACAGCTTACCCGCTTTGCAGCCCGGCTTCATGGCTCACTTCAGAATTTTTCTAATAACCAAATTGGTGAAATCCATGATAACTTCAACAAATAGCTATGTATTGCCTTCGAAAAGTAGGCGGCATCCATCGTGATTCGTGGTATCAAAACAAATGCCGGAATTGGCCACATTTCGCGGTGAATAAAATGAAAATAAGGTGAAATCCAAACACCTGCAGGTTAAACAGCATTAAGCATTAAGATGTCTTACAAGGAGAAGTAGACCACTAGCAACTTACTTTTTTTGAAACCCCTGTGTATGGTTTAAAAATACGCAGTGGCTGAATATTTTATTGAGTTAGTGTACAGTTGTATAGTACAAATTAGGTTAAACAACTTTGGAAAAGGGTTTCTGAGGCCAGTCATACCCCCCTGCCAAAACTTTAGGGAGTGCCAGTCTTTTTACCTACATGTTGATAGAGCAGGTTCTTCTTTGTTAAACTTAGGAGAGGGTTCCAATTCCTCAAAAATAAATAGTTTTCAGATAGCGACCACTTACTAGTGATGACAAATACATATAGGTTATGACATTACGTTTCTTTGAAGCCTGCTCCAGGTAGTTGCAAATGAGTGTACAAAAACAGGCGAGGTGTGGGTGTATCGCATACCAAAACCTCCCTTGTTTCTGCCTTGCTGTTGCTTTGGTGCTACAGCTGTATTTACTTTTTTGCTCTGCTTTACTTACTGAATGCCTTGAAAAGGCTTTGTTTGTTGTAGAATCTGGTGTACAGCTGAAATAAGGTTGGAAAAAGGAAATTTTTGTTGCCCTTAAGGGTACATGCTTTTTAATCAAACCTTTGTTTTATTTTGTTTTTATGTACATTGTTTTTACATTATTTTGTATGAGCTCATGCTTTATTTGGGAACTTTGTATTATTTCATTTGCATTTTGGTGTGATATATCATCTCTAATGGTAAACAGAAAATATGTTTCCTATTTTTATGAATGTGAGTTAGTGTGGGTGATGTGTGTTATTTGCATTACTCGCCCCATTTTAAGTGTCACAGTATCTCCATGAGCCATTCTTGAATATGCTTTTGGTGTCTAGATCTCATTAATGTTTCTCCTTAATGTCTGCCATAAAATCTTTATGATGTTAGTTTGAAGAATTTGGTATTGGATCAACTAAGACTCCCTTAATTGATATTTTTCTTTATTTTCATCACTTCTCTGCTTGATATAGAGTTGATATTGTGAAGAGACATTATGTCTTGATGACTAATGAGAGTTATAAGGTTAAAGGCTTCACATGAGGTACATGTACAACAGAACTTGCCAGAATTTCATTAGCTTCTGGTTACTTGACAGTAATTTTCTCAATAAACAAATTTCTGTGTAGGAAAAAAAAATAGGTCAACTCTACCTGTGCATTAGTTTTATTATTGCTATAACTTTACTTCTTATTGTTTTTATATACATTACTATTATGGACATTACTCTTATTGGTACTATTGTCATCACTGTTATTTATTTACATGGATGTAACTCAAGACTTGCCATAAAACTGTTAAATTTAATGTTGTAACAAATGTTGATTTTCTTTTAAGGAAGAAAAGCTCTTATTCAAATGTTCAAAAAGAGGAAATATCGGGAGATTCTTGAGAAGGTATGTTAAAATGCTTGATCAATTTTCTCCTTTCCTTATGTAATTTTCTCCAAAACTATAATTATAGTATTTTAACTATTTGTTAAAAAGAAAGTAAAATCATGAAAAGGCCTTGACTGTGCTCTTTTCCGTTGCAAAGCTGCAGAAAGCAGCCAGAGCTTAAAAGACATTAACCCTTGAGACCCTAACATCAGTATCCATATTCTCCAAACTCTTCTCCATATGTTTATTTGGGTTCTGACAAGGAGAATTCATTTGTAGATCAAAGCTTCTTAGGTTGGCGATCATTTCCTTTATTCTCATGATCCTAATGAATGGTTTATAGCAGTATTCCTGTGAGGAGAAATTAGATACTGGTCACTCCTAGGGTTTAAAGGGTTAAGGGGAAAACTTGAAAGATAGTAACTGCAGAAACAATCAAAAGTTCAGCTTACCATACATGTAGCTTACAGTCCTTTTTTACCCTTGAACACAAAGCGTTTTCACCCCTCAGAGCACAGCATGCGGAAATTTATCACAACAAAATAGTCATGTAATCAGTGTACCGCTGCAAGGGTGCAGTGAAATGCTTAGCAGACTAATCCTGGGAGTTTTTTCTCATAATTAGAAGCAGAAATGAGTAAAAAAACAATGTGATTGTATTCTTAACCACTATTTTATTTGTGATGAATTGGGTTTTCCTAGAATATGCATGCATACTTACAAAGACAGACCTTTATAAGAATAGGCTAACAGAATAATAACCATACCAGAAAAAATGCAGATGAAAACAAACAAACAAACTCTCAAAAATATAGTTAAGGGAGGAAGTATATTAAATCATAAATACATGACTATTATTTTCAATATTTTTAATGAACCTTTGAGATCATACGTTGACATCAAATTTTGTTGTGCACAAGTACATTTGTTTTGCTAAGCCATTGCGCTAAATTCAAAGAAATATTATTGGTTATCTTAATTGTTGGGTTTGTCTGTTATAATGTTTTTAAAATCATCACAACTTCGTTAGGTCAGGAACGGCTTAGAAACTTCCTTTGCCTTTAACTCACCCATTGGACTCAAGGCAGTCCGAAATGATGTACAGTTATAGCGTACTTGTATATGCATGTCCTTGGGTTCATTCACCCTGTTTTGCTTTTGGGTTTTTCTATCATAAATATTTTTTTAATCACCATAACTTGATTAGTGAAAGCGTGGAATTGACTCATCCTTTGGACTTTTAGGTCAGTCCAAAACGATATGCAGGTATATAGCTTACATGTACTTGTATGTCCTTGGGTTTACTCTGTTTTGCGTTTGGTCTTAAACAGGATCTTCTCACCCGTAAATTTGATTCTCATTCCAAGCTTGGAATAAGATACCATGTCTATGATATTATCGGAGCTGATTTTGTCAAAAGGTAAATACTTTCGTATTTGTTTTCCTCAATTGATACCAATTTTATACCTGCCAAAATGTTCCACGCCAGCTATTGCTTCTTAAGATAAAGAGTCGATGAATCCATGTTATTATAAAACCACAGAACAGAAAATGAGATGAAAGAGCGCGGACATTCCTTGCTGTATGTTACGTTTGGCAAATTCGTGGCATGGGTTTCAGTCGTAATAATAGTAATAATAATGATAATAATAATAATAATAAACTTTGTTTTTCGAGGGTGGCACTTGACAGTATAAAATACTGATAAACGACAGTAAGTGTTAAATTATCACTATGAACGGTCCAACAACAATGTGATTGATTATTTCCTTTTCCTTTACGCAAACAGCGTGGATACTACATCAGGACAATTACTGAGACTGGACATCCAATCAGAGAGTCGAGCGAGATCGAAAAGATGATCAGTGTCCTTGCAAGGCATTGTTTGATCTTGTGACGCAACGCGGGAAAGAAGGCATTGTGTGACAAGACCAAAATGCGGCTGCAAGGGCGATTATACAACGACACATGCCTCTATTTGTTTAGGGGCTGATTACATGTTTCTGTGAAACAAATTGCTTCTCTTAAATTAATGAATAATTAGCAGTTGTACTGCAAATCTTCTTGTCTTTGATTGTAGAGATTAACATAACAAAAAGTTTCATATAGTAGTAAGAGATGTCATTCCTTGTAAAAGGCTCCTTGAAACTTTTTCAAGTTAAAGGCATCCTAAAATGCAAAAGAATGAGAATAACATTTTAATCTTATTTGAAACTTTCACTGTGTAGTTTATTCAATAAATGAAAGAAAACAGATTAAAGCAATGCAGTTTTGGGCAAATGGCAGGATTTTTTTTCGGTGCTCAGTATTCCGAAGTATTTATGAATCCTTACAAATCGCCAAAGGAAAGCGTTAAGGTTGACTTTTCGTCTTCATAGCAAACCAGAAATTTTACCAAGTACCTTAGAACTTCGTAAATTCTAATATTTTAAATTATTTGTGATAATTTGCTGCCATGTGCCTGGATGACGTTCATATAGGGGGACACTCATTGCAATTGGTCCGTGATTTATCAGAGGATTTATGGTAGGGTGGGATATTGGCAAGCACTTAACTTAAATCTATGATAGATACCTCTCGTACAGTGAACTGTAGATGCCTTCATCACGATTTGGGTTAGGCTGATCCAAACTGAAAAAAGTTTGAGAACAACAGTAAAAAAAAAAAAAAAAAGTATTTGAAGCCATAGAGGGTGGGGGGAGGGGAAGGGGCAGTTGATGGGAACCATGACCTTTGAATGCAGTTACGGTTTACTCAATGAAAGACTGTCGCAAGAAGAACGATCTTGGTATAATGTTATTAATTTATATACGTTTCATTTGATGGAATCATTTGGTAGTTTTGCTTTTTAATGCGTAGCTCACTTCTGATGAATGTGTATTTTTTAAGTGGAAAATCGGGAATATGCTGTCTGTAGTGAACTCCTGTTTCCGAACAGGCCTCTTAATCGTTTCTCTCAGATTTTGTCTCTCAGTAACGGCGCATGCTGGGATCGGTTGATTTAGGGGGCAGTGTTCTGTTCCAAGGCCGGTGTTAGGTAGAGAGGAATACTTCCCTACCTTTCATACATTCCTGCATCAGCTGTCTTCCCGCTTTCAGCACTGAGAGAACAAAAAACAGTTATAAATTACTGAAAAAAAAAACAACAAACAAACAAACCAACTGATCTTGTCTTTCAAAAAATATAAAGTATGAATACTCATTGGCTAACCCGCCTATGTAGAGGGGATTTTCACTTTGTTTGACGGGATTTCTTGCAGAGGTGGCCATACTTTCACTGTTGATTAAAGACAAGACAAATTTCAATAAACGAATAATTTAATATTAAAATTGAAAAAGAAAACCAAAAGATCTTCCTACTTCTCTGAGTTCATTCAAAATTTCAAAGAATAACGGTCGATTGATAGTTTTACTTAATGCGTAACTGAGATGTGGTGAAAATGATGGGAATTACTTTTTGACACTAGAATGCTCCTTATTTTTAAAATCAGCGACCAAAATATTTCTTATTGCTTCTGTATTTCGAGAACGCTTCCATTGGATTGCCTTAAAGATCGATTCATATAACTCAGTTTATTACTCCTTGGAAAATTGGTCGTAGGAAACTTCTGTGAAAGAACGCATATATTATGTTTTTTGTTTTGGAGTTCTTTCAACCTTCCCCATTGGATATTAACTCATACCTCTGATCACCACCACCGCTGTCAACATTGACGGCTTATCACTTTTAAAACACGAACATTACTGATTTATGTAATGTGTACATCAGCGAGTTTAAAGTATGGACTTTCTCCGTGTGTTTTTAACCCTTTAACTCCCAAGATCAGATTGTTAATTCTCCCCTCTAGTTGCTATACATTTCCTTGTAAATAAGTCACAAGTGTTTGGTGCTAGATCAAGACTACTAACTGACCTACCTGATAAGTTTGAGTATTCTTAATACATGTTGCCAGGATAATGTGTGGATGTTATAAGGAGAACTTACATGTTAATCACTCATGGGAGTTAAAGGGTTAAGAGGTTGTCTTGGTAATGTTTGGTCAAGATTGCAGTTTAATTTGAATTGACCACTCCCTCTATGTGGCCGGAAATATTGCTAAACATGCATGCCTGTGCCACACATCGATCCTTAAGATCAGACAGCCTTGACTTATTAAAGTAAAATACTGAAGGTGAACTGAGCTTCGTGAAGAGATAAATGCGAACTCACCTTTCGTACAATGGGTTGTCGCTTTCCTTCACTGTTTCATCGCTGAAAGAAGGCAATTTGGAATCACATTTTGTGGAAAAGCGTACAATTTGAGTGTTTGGATTTGATCAATAAAATTGGCAAACTAGTTTAACCTGTTATTATACATTCCAGGCGGGTTGACATATGTGTAACGATTATCATTTTCTTCTTCATCACAGCCAGAACTGAAAGCAGAAAAACATGCAAGTATGTGTTTGATAAGATTCTTCATATACATTCACACGTTACAAGCCCCGTTGCTCCCTCTCAACCTGACTTTGAAAAAAGCTCACCGGGCGCGACAATTTTAGGATTTACGGCAGATGCAGGGAGTGAAGTAGAAGCGACACGACCATCAGTGACACAGAAATGTAGAATTGTAACCCTGGCCACAAACTTTCACAGGTTTTACCTCGTGTTACACTCATCCGTGGGGGTGGCGTAAATGGAGACTGCTTTCTCGTCCGGTTGAAAGCTCACTGCAGGTGTGTTCCGGTTGTTTTGATTTTCCCTACTACGCCTGCAGTAAATTTGATAATCAAAATAAAAAAAAACTGGATGAAACAAAAAGTTTGCTTCACTAGCGGTGTGCGAACTTTTGTAAAGATTTTCCGTACATCTAGCTTTCTCAAAAGGTGCCATTCACGATCGATAGTTGAGTTCAAAATGAGATCAGAAAAGTAAATTACGAGAGATTCCTATACGACTTGCTATGTACACTTGTGAAGTTGGAAAAACCCCACATTGGCACTTCATAATTTTAAATGAGAAAACGTAATTATCCGTACTGTCTGCTTAAACAAACCCTTTACCTCCCAAGATCTTATTAGTGATTATCCTTACTGTCTGCTTAACAATTCTCATGATAACAATTTGATATTGGATCAACTAATAATCCCTTAATTGATATTTTTCTTTATTCTCATCACTTCTATACATGATATTGTATTTATATTGTAAGGAGAAATTCTTTCTTAGTCACTCATGGGAGGTAAAGGGTTAAGGATATAATATTGATAACAAAAAGTTGAACTTACCGCTTTTTGTGAAAACAAAACAAAGTTATTGCGAGTATCGCACAAATTACTACCAAAGCTGCAGTCAATCCAGCAATTAGGGAGGTGTTTGACTCAGACTCTCTTCCATCGTCCAATGTGTCAGACAAACCTTCTCCTCTTGTCATGGAGGTGTGATCTGTTTTATCTGGAGAGCTGAGTTTGCTCTCTCTAGTAGAAGATATCTCTTGAGTGGTCTCTACGCTTGATGACGTCGTAGTTACTTTGTCTTTGACCATGTTTGTCTGAGTTGAGGCAGGGGTTGTGCTAGTAGTTGTTTTGGCTGCTGTGTTAAGAAAAGAAGCATACTTTTATGTTTGTGGCATATACAGAATATTCTAGAATAGGATCCGTAGCCCAGCTTATTGCTATTTGAGGGCATGTCAGCTTCTCTTCCACTAATTGGTTAAACTACGCTGTACTTGATTATGAGATTTCTATCGCGTTATAGTGTTCATGTCGGCAAAGCCTTAATCACTGAACTATTCAGCATAAAAATCGAGGGTGAATGTTATATAATTTTTTTGAATAAAAATCTTTCAGTTATTCAAAACGTAACAACAACCCCAGCGCATATTCTTGTTATTATGTTTGCAACTGCATGCTGTTAAGCTACTCACCCTACCGACAGTCTATTACGCAATAGATAGCGAGTAGCGTAGCCAATCAGATTGTGACATTCGATTAGATTGCATATTCGCTTCATATTAATAGCCACCATCACAGTTACTACGTCTTCTTGTATCGGTCAATTTTGCGAGCTGTACTCTACTGAGCAGCTCGTTAAAGAAGAAAACTGTTTGTGTGGACAAAATCTCTCATTCCACCCCTTCCCTTCCCCGAAGTAACTTCAAAAAAGTTATGACTTTCGTGGCCAAAGAGCAAATCGCAGCGGAGAAAACTTAAGTATGAACCATCAACTCGGTTAGTGTGAGGTATTTATAACCTTTTCCTCAAAAAGAGGGGACTTCTTGGACCTTGAGGTCACTCCATGCTACGCCCTCACATTTCAATTTTTTTTAAACGTATTTCCGTTAATGGTTTTTAAGTTAAGCCTTAGAAATCATATCAAAACCTCAGTTTCATGTTAAGGCTACTGTATACTTTTGTCTTTCGTAAGCACATCCGTCTCCGATCGCTTTATCAAAAGGCAAATGACCTGGAAAATTATAAGCATACAAAAACATCACCCTTTTTCGAGAGTCAAATGTAGCTATGAAAGTTATCGGATGTCTAAATGTTTAAGGTTTTTTGAGGCTTACCCCTAATCTTTATAGCTTGGTACCTGGCACGAAATCCTTTGCCTGACAGAGTATCATCTGATCGAAAAATAACTGTAACATTGTTACCAGTGGAATTTAATTGAGGCGTTGTCATGTCGCAGACTGAACCAATCAAAGTTGTTGTTCCGTTCATTAATGTTTCCCACACGTTGACAAAGTCACAACAATAGCAAATCCACTCTAAACTGACGTCATCAAAAGTGATCAGAATAGCGTAATTCCAAGGGACTTCAATATGCCACTTGCACCAGGCCTTGTTGTTATAGTTTTGTGGATAGTATGGACTGTGGAAAGTGCCATTCAGTGCTGTCATTGTCTGCGTGCACTCTGTTCGAATGTAAGGAAAACCAAATTGAGAAAAAATATGTAAACATTGACCAATAATTCTACCTCGATGTTTAAGGGTGTCGCCTAGTGAAGTCTACTACGTTGAAGGGTTAAAATATTGTATTGAGTCCCTAACGTTAGCGTTTTAACATATAGAAAGTCTTAAGCCGTTTTCCCTTTTGAAAACGGTACACTTTGATTGATAAACCACATCCATCGAACATTACCTTGCTAAGTAAGGTTCGGGTTTGGAGGATTCGTTTACAAGACAACTGCCTTTTACTGTCATTACGAGCATTTCGTGTCGATGACGGCCTTCAGTTGATCTATTCGAGCTAAAAAAAAATAATTTTTTTTCTTTCGGATCGTTACAGGCAGGCTTATGGAGGAAGGAGATAAGGTAAGAAAGTCGAAAACCGATCGGGTCACACAAGCGTGAACATCCAGGCCTTATTCCGAAGATGAAATATTAGTGGCATTGTAGGATGGAAACTGAGTGGTTGGCCTTCAAAATCAATCCAACAAGAGACCTGACAACAGACAGGAGGGACGCATATCCGTCCCTCTCTGACTACGTTTGTTTCCTTTCAACAATTTTTAGCATGAGAAGCTTGACCCAAGTGGGTAACAAGTGTATACATATGGATTTCGCCCCACGCCTTTGCATGACTCCATTTTCCTGTTTTGTGTAAAGGAAAGGGAAAAGACTGCCATACAGGCTACGACATTTGCAAAAATTCGCAACCTGTCGCAGGTGTAGCAAGCGTAATTTGAAGCTTCATTTCTCGACTTGGTTCTGCGTGAGCGCTCTATCCTATCCGATGTTTTTTTATCATGACTAATTGCTACAAACAAGAACTTGATGATAAGAGAGCCGGATATGGGAACGATTT